AATGTTAGCAACATTGACTTTCTTTATGGTAGTTGATCCCTTAATGGATGGATTTTCCCATGTTATGGCACAATATGATAATGGTTATGAAGGCTTACAAGAAAATAAAGTTGTTGTTATTCAGCTTGTAAGCTACATTACTCCATTGGTCTTAATCCCACTCTTTGAACTGGTTATAATACCTCTGGCTCCAAAAATAGAGTATTTTTTAATAAATCCCTTAAAAGGATTTGATCTGGCTTATATTTTTGTCATAATTTCCATTTTAACTTTTTCCATCATCAATATAATTGCTCGAAAGTCTTTTAAAGTCCCTTGCATCACATGGGGGGCAAGTGATCCAGCAATTGAGGTTTCGTTTTGGATACTTGTCATACCTTACGTATTAGCTGGTATTTCAGAAATTTTAGCTCACTTGTGCTTATTTGAGTTCCTGTGCAGTCAAGCTCCTTTTGGTATGCTTGGCATGATCATTGGACTCTTCTTGTTTTTTGATGGTATTTCTTTTGATATTGGCTCAATGATAGTTCTTACTTTTCAATATATCTTTCTTTCAAAAACTTGTGCTTCATGGTTCACCATCATTTTCTGTGTCATTGCTGTGGTTGGGTTAGTAGTGTATGCATTAGTAGCTCGATGGTATGTTAAGAGGGTCAGACTGCAGAGATACTGATCTTGGACTACGCACTGTAATAGAGGAACATTGGGAACAGAAAATTATCAGAAATGATTCTTTTGCTGATGAAAATGATGATAGTAATAATTACATTATTTGTAGTCTTGATGTACAATAATAATTATTGGTTGATTTTGTTACAATAAATAATTTAAATATTATTATAATGCAAAAAACTCTACTTTATCAATGAACGGGTGTGGTCAATTAACTTGTCACCTTTTTGCTGAATCTCGACTTCTACTGTACTAAGACTAGAGATGATTGAAATTACTCAATGGAGAGCAAGAATTGGACTGTGGAACTGCTGTACAGGTGAATTCAATAAGCTTTCTTTTGGAAAGCAGGCATGCTCATCAAAAACGGCCGCCTCGTCAAAACTAAAGCCAAAGGAAACTAGAGCCACTTCTGTTGATAAAATGATGCTAAAGTTTCCTTCTGTTTTCTATCAGGGAATCATCTTGCCTCTCTTTGCATTTATATCAAAGTTTGGGATAGGTAAGTAACAGTTGTTGCCATATATGGTGACCCATGATTTTCCTTGCTACATAGGTGTTGTTGGTTTTTGCCATTATCAGCCTCAACAAGTACAATTACCTAGAGCTACATTACGTTCCCCTTTGCAATTGTTATTGGGAGCTGTCAGGTTGAGCTTCATGCTCAATGTGTTTTTGTGCCTCTGCCTTATTCTGTTGTCAGGCGATGTTGAACTTAATCCTGGTCCCACTATTGATGATAAACCTGATTTATCTCTGTTACTCGAATGGCTGGAACCACTTCATGACTGGCAGTCATTTGGTCTCCTTTTACCTGGAGTAACACATCAAGATATCACAATAGATCTAATTGAAGAATTTGACACTCCCACAGTTGTAGGAAAAACAGGCCTTTTTTCTAAATGGTTGACAAACTATCCTAAAGCAACATGGAAAGATATACTTGATGCACTGTCCAGAAGAGAAGAGCATAAGTTAGTAGATACTATTGAAAACCATTTATGTGGTAAGCTTAGTAAACAGCCGCTAATTCAAAACTATTTCAATAAAAATTTAATTTTAGGTAGATCTAATCCAATAAAGTTACTTAGGACTCAATATGACAGATTAGCTTCTATCATTAGCACAAACCTCACTCAAGTAACTAATGCTCTATATGCCAAAGAACTTATACCAACGGATACCAAGGAAAAGATGCAAGTAGAAGCAATGGACAATGTTACAAAAGCCAGCAATCTTGTACATGTCATTGAAAAACAGTTAGCATCAAGTCAAAACCATTTGCAGTATTTAGTTGATGTTTGTCACGTATTAGCGAACCAGGAACCCAAGGCACTTGCAGATATAGCTATAAGCATATTACAAAAATTAGGTAAGAAATTATAGTGTGCACGATCCTATCATTTATGCTTGTTCATAGATTGTACTTTGCCTGAAAAACATACAAATGCACCTGTTTTACCTGAAATTGTTCTACAGTATGCCAATAATCTAAAAGAACGCTATAAGAACCAACCCATTGTCAATACAGACTGGCCACCAAGAATTGGGCAAGATTTTTTTGGGAGACTAGCACTAGTAGAAAAGCAAGACACCTCCACCATAAAAGATCAAAATTCAGCATGGTATCATCTTAGAGGACAAGTTGATGAAATAGTTGAAATGCCTGAAAACAACAAAATATGCATTGATGATATCTTTAAACCTACTGAGACACCTTCATCACTTAGAGTACTAATTGATGGTCCTCCTGGTATTGGTAAAACAACCCTCTGTCGTAAATTATTAAATATTTGGTCTCATGGACAACTTCCTTATCAGCAGTATGACTTAGTTCTTTACTGTCCTTTGAGAAGTACTAAAATAGCTAAAGCTACTACACTAGCTGACCTTCTGGTGCATCGTTGCTATGAAATTTGTATTTTAGCTGAATGGTTTGAGAAGAAGAATGGCAAAGGATTGCTGATAATATTTGATGGTTGGGATGAACTAAGCGTGTCTTCAAGATCTTCTTCGTTTGCATTAGATATCATTCGTAGAGAAGAGTTAAGTGAATGCTCAGTAATTGTTACTTCACACAGTTATGCCTCTTCATCGCTTATAAAGATTGATTCACTCAGCAGGTACATACAAGTAATTGGGTTTACAAAAGAGGAAATAGCTACTGTAATCATACGAAAAATTCAAAAAGATCCCAAACTAGCACTAGAACTCATTGAAGCTTATAAGGAAATGATAAATAACCAGCAGGACTTTGATGATGACAGCAGTAGTGATAGCATGAATCTTGATTTTAAATGGCTAGAATTACACTCAAATAGTGATTCACAATTAGCTGTGAAACTTATCAATGATCTGGAAGTACGAGATGATGTTTGTTCATTATGTTATATACCATTAATATGCTCAATGGTCATCCTGGTTTATTGTAAAGAAAATGGAAGCTTACCTACAACACTCACTCAACTTTTTGAGAACTTTATTCTTCAAACAATAAAAAGACAAGCTGAAAAATCTGGTAATGATGCATATGACCTACCCAATACCCTACTTTCACTACCTTCACAACCAGCTTTACAGGAGTTGTGTCAACTAGCATATACTAATCTTGCTGAGAAGAAAGTGATTTTTTCCTCAGATCAATTAAAGGAACTAACACTTTGCAAGGAAGACTATTTAGGATTAATAACATCATTCATAGAGTTTGACGAAAAGAAATACCAGTTCCTTCACTTAAGTATACAGGAATTTCTGGCAGCATGGTGGATAGCTAAGTATGAAAAAAATGCATTTGAAGTGTTTAAGGATCACTTTGATGATGACCATTTTCGTATGTGTCTTAGATTTGTTGCAGGCCTAACAAACCTTAAACATGAGAGCTATCAACAGTATTTTAATAAGCAACTTGAACTAAAATGTAAAACATTTGATCTACCAATTTTTGAAAAATTTGCTCATGTTTTGCCTCACTTTTATCACCACCCTGAGATTGATAGCCATCATAATTTCTATTTGAGTACATCAATTGATTTACTTATTAATTTTCAAGCCGATTTTCCTATTCTCCTTTTTCAGCTTCTTTATGAGTCACAGAATGCAATGCTATGTCATACATTAGCTCAATCCATTAATGATCAGTCACTGTGTCTTAAAGGTGCAGCATTGTCACTGTTTGACTGGTTATGTTTCAATTATTTCATCAGTAATTCCAATATAAAATGGAAGCACTTGCATATGCATAAGTTGTATGATCAGGAACTATCAATCTTTGATAATGCCTTAATTAATTTCTCTCAAACTACCCAATGTGTCAGACTGCAAACAGCAATTCATAAACCATCTGACGAAATTTTACAGAGATTTTTACTATCTTCATTTTTGCGAAATATTCAAGAGCTTTATTTTGACTTAAACAATACTACATATGCTCTTGGACTTGCATTGCTACACATTTTAAGTCTTCCAGACTTGAAAATATTTCACTTAACTTGTGAAGCAGTTGACAACATGTTTAAAGCACAACAATGCGTTGCAGTTGAAAGATCTGTAGCAACAAATGTTCCGCTAGAAGAACTAAAGGTCGTCTTTTATCTTGGAAGTGGCACACAAATTGTTACCAGTATCATTAAAGGAGTGACGAAAAGCAAAAGCATAAAATCATTTATGGTGAAATTAATTGAGGATTATCATCTTTCTCCTCCTCATCCTATTTCTGATGTAGTATTGGAGGAGTTACTAGAGAATAATTCTACACTACATGCTCTTTCGATGATCATGCCTGACAGTCTTATAGATTCATGGCCATTCTTTTTCAAGATTAATACACCCCTTACAGCTTTAGAATTACGTATTGGATATAATAATTTTCGGAAATTAACATGTATTTTTTCTATACATGCTTATCAAGAATTAAAAGAATTTTTTGAGGTTCGCCTTTTAACAATGTCTTTACTATGTCCACCAGTTAAGTTTATTTTTCATCCCAATTTGAAGTCACTTACCTCTTCAGCAACCAAAACTGATATGACTATTGATATTTTTGCTAACACTGACTTAGATGTGATAGCTACAACTGTAACTTTTAGAGATGGACAGGCCATATTTCAGAACTATGGTACAGCACAAAGCAACTAACGTTAATGTCCCAAATTAACAGTAATTATTTAATTTTAAACTTTTATTGATAAATTTAAATAGATAGTTAACTTTATTGCATTTGATTAAAAATAATTGCAGAAGCAGCGTTACAGTTATTGAGAAAAGGAAAGTATTTAAAACTTGCAATCATTAATTTTTAAACTCTCAAAAGGTATATCCATTGATGCATTGTAAATTTGATCAAAAATTTTAATTTTTGTTAAGATTAATTTTCATTATTTTATTTTTTTACTTAATTTTTTAAATTTTTTTATAGATCTAAATCTGCATGCTATCCACGTAAAACAAAAATTGAATTGTTAAAAAATTTTGTTGAAGAAAAATGCTTGACAAATTTGATGCTAACAAAAATTTGGAGCTATATGCACATCTGTGTCTTACATAAACTGAATTCATAGTCATTGTTTTAGGGCGTGTCTCAACATGTTTGCTGTAACTCTAGCTCTATTGTCCATGATTGGGTTGGTTGCTGGACAACCAGTCACTCTAAAGCCACACATTGTCATGATGCTTGTTGATGACTGGGGCTGGGCTAATGTAGGATACCACCGGAATCCACCAACACGTGAAGTTGTAACACCAAACATTGACGATTTGGTTAAACAAGGTCTTGAGCTCAATCAGCATTATGCTTATAGATGCTGCTCTCCTTCTCGCTCTTCTCTCATCAGTGGAAGGCTACCAATACATGTCAGTGATCAAAATATAGCACCAACTAACTACAATCCAAATGATCCAATCTCGGGATTCTCAGCTATTCCACGTAACATGACTGGTATTGCTGAGAAGATGAAAGAAGCTGGGTATGCTACACATCAGGTAGGCAAATGGGATGCCGGAATGGCCACACCAGACCACACACCAAAAGGACGAGGATTTGATACTTCATTTGGCTATTTTCATCATTACAATGACTATTATACTGAGGTAGTTGATTCATGCAATGGCACTGGAGTGGTTGATCTATGGAATACTGACCAACCAGCTCATGGTATTAATGGGACTGGACCTGACAAATATGAAGAGGCTTTGTTTAGGGAGAGACTCCTTGACATTGTTAGCAAGCATGACCCCAGTACACCACTCTTCTTATATTATGCTCCTCATATTGTTCATACTCCATTGCAAGTCCCTGATGAATACTTGAATAAATTTAGTTTCATTGATGACAAGGATCGCATGTATTATCATGCCATGGTCAATTATCTTGATGACGTTGTGGGTGATCTTGTTTCTGCTTTAAAGAAAAAAGGAATGTGGGACAATCTTCTTTATGTCACAAGTAGTGATAATGGTGGTCCTGTTTATCCTTTTGGAGGTGCTAATAACTATCCATTAAAAGGAGGGAAGCTAAGTGATTGGCAAGGTGGCATACGTGTCAATGCTTTTGTGTCTGGAGGACATTTACCAGAAAAAATGCGAGGGCAGAAGACTGATGGGTACATACATTTAGCTGATTGGTATGGTACTTTCTGTGCTATTGCTGGTGTTGATCCAACTGATGAGAAAGCTGCCAAGGCTAAACTACCTCCAGTAGACAGTTATAACATGTGGCCACTAATATCAGGTCAGACTGATGTATCTCCACGGACTGATATTCCAGCTAGCATACAGGCACTGATAAGTGGAGACTTTAAGATATTAGTAGGTGATATTGGTCAAGCAGGTTGGACTGGACCTCAATATCCTAACAAGACAAATCCTGCAGGAGGAATACTTGCAACAGAGAAATGTGGTGATAGTGGATGTCTTTATAACATAAAAGATGATCCAGAGGAGAGAAAAAATCTTGCTTCATCTATGCCTGATAAACTGAAAGAGATGCAAGAAAAGTCTAAGAAATATTTAGCTACTTATTTTAATCCTGATCGAGGCCATGCATCTCCACTTGCATGCCAAGCTGCTGTTAATAAGTATGGTGGTTTCTGGGGACCTTTTGTTGACTGAGCTATTATAGTTAATTAATTCATTGATTGCTATAAATTATGCTAATGCTATTTATTATGCTGTGTTGTCAAGTCTACACAAGTGTCACATTGGGTGTGTCTCATGATTATGCTTACCTGTATCATAATAGTCTAGATGTGTATTGTTTTGCATGCTTAGCAATATTGCTTCTTTTGGAAGAAAATGTTGCAGTTTGTCTTTTTGAGTTTGCTCTTTTTTTCTGCTAGCATTCCATTCACTGAGTCTTGCACTGATGGCTCAGTTAGACTGGTAAGCACCTTTTTGCTACTTTGTGCTATTAAACGTGTAATACTTATTATTAGACAAATTCTAGTCTTTCATATGGAGCAGTTGAGGTTTGCTCTAATGGATGGGGAAGTATATGCAGTGATTTTTGGGATAATAATGATGCCAGTGTAGTATGCAAGCAACTAGGATATTCTTCTTATGGTAATAATAATGATCGTATTATATTTCAATAACTTTTATGTTTTGTACTATATAGGTGCTATAGGATCTGTGGTATCATATGTCAGTTCTAGTGCACAATCACATTCTATCATTGACTTAAACTGTACAGGAAATGAAACCACTATACTGTCTTGCCCACATAATGGTCTGGCTAGCTATGCCTGTTCGATTAACAGAGATGCTAATGTCTTTTGTCAACGTAAGTGATGACTTTATGACAGTTGTAAGTATCGATTTTTAATTATTATTTTAGTTCTAAATGAGGTGACACAAAGTGACTGTATGGATGGAGATGTGCGTTTGTCTGGAGGAACAACACAATATGAAGGAAGAGTTGAAGTTTGCATCAATGAAGCTTGGAGTGCTGTCTGTGCATATAGTGGCTGGTCATCTAGTTCAGCTAAAGTAGTCTGTAAACAGATTGGGGCTCTAACACTAGGTTTGCTATACAAAAAATGTTAATATTAATATTAGATTCCCATAGGATACTCTCAAGGAACTGTTGGCAGTTTAGGGTTCGCTCAAGGCAATGGTCCTGTCCTATTAGGCTACCTCTCCTGTTCAGGAGATGAGACCAACCTCTTGTCTTGTAATAAGAACTATTATCAAACTGTTATAGTCTCTTCATGTCAATCTCATCAATATGATGCTGCTATTAAGTGTGAAGGTAAGTAGTAAGAGGTATTATCAAATTATTATACATACCTTATTATTTAACTTAGCTCCTTGTACTAATGACACAATGAGATTGAATGGTGGTGGAGTTAGACATGGCAGAATTGAAGTGTGTATTAATGAAGTATGGACTACTATATGCAGTGACTACTGGGACTATGAAGATGCTTCAGTTGCTTGTAGACAGTTGGGATATTCACCTTATGGTAATTCAAACTATATGTATTATTCTTCATTCCGTTATAAAGGTGCTATACCACTAACAAGTTATTTTGCTGACTACGACTGGTCTTATGGTATTCTTGATCCAAATTGCACTGGCCTTGAGTCTAATATATGGAACTGTTCTCATAATGAAGCCATTGACTCTAATACTTGCACTGGTTATGAGGATGCTGGAGTTATTTGTCAAAGTAAATAGTATTAAATATTTTTATAAATTTTACACATTATTAGGTGGTAATATTCAGCCAGTTAACTGTGAGACTGGAGACATTAGACTGATTAATGGAACTACTAGTAATGAAGGAAGACTGGAAGTATGTGTAAACAGAGTATGGGGTACAGTTTGTGGTGTTTCATGGGGTTCTACTGATAGCAGAGTTGCTTGCAGACAACTAGGACACCAAGAATTAGGTATATTGACACAACCATTACAGCAATTGATAATGCAAATATTGTAATTATACTGATGTACTTTTGTTCAGGTTCAGTAAGTGGGTATGGATTGTATGGTCAAGGAAGTGGACCAATTGTTTTTGGTTACATGTATTGTAATGGAAATGAGGACACACTCTTTGATTGCAATAGAAATGAACCATCAGTTGCTTCAGGAACATGTACCAGTCACTCTTATGATATAGGACTGAGATGTGAACGTTAGTTGTCAAATTTGATACATACTGTATATAAAATTTTTTTTGTATATTTAGCTAAATGTGAAAGTGGCAGCATTCGTCTTGGTAGTGGTACATCAAGTTCTAATGGTCGTGTTGAAGTATGTGTTGATAAAGCATGGGGTACTATTTGCAGTGATTACTGGGATAATGATGATGCTAGTGTTGTGTGTAAACAACTTGGTTATTCACCTTATGGTAAGTTTTGCTTGTTATCCGTAACACTTCCTTGTTTTTCAAATATTGAACAATAAAATTCATACCTAATGAATAATGTTAGTATTATGTTAATAATATTATTGATAGCATTGATATTATATTAATAATGTTATTCAGGAGCTATTGGTGCACCTGGCTCAGGTTCAATTACAAACAATATCTGGCCTCATCATATCATTGATGTGAATTGCACTGGGAATGAAAAAAACTTATTTTCATGTCCTTCTAATGGGCTAACTGGATACAACTGCCCTAATAGTAATTTCGCAATTATATCATGTCAAAGTAAAATTAGTGTTTTGTGGATTCAAACATTATTTAAATTTTATCTAGATATTGGTACACTTAAAGTGGACTGTACAGAAGGTGAAGTGAGACTGGTTAATGGTAACACACAGTATGAAGGACGTGTAGAAATATGCATCAATAGAGTATGGGGAACTGTATGTAGTAGAAGAGACAATAGATGGAATTGGTCGTGGTGGAATTCCTGGGATACACTTGACAGTAATGTTGTGTGTAGGCAGGCAGGACACATGGAGCTAGGTAAAGTACTTGCAAAAAGTAAGAATGTCATTTATTTACACAATTTTAGGATCAGTTGCATACACTAGAGCTAGTGTATTTGGACAAGGCTCAGGTCCTATACTGATGTCTTCAATTCAATGTAGTGGACAGGAGTCACATCTAATTAACTGTTCCTATTCTCCAATAATACCATCATACTGTTCACACACTTATGATGTTGGAGTCAAATGTGAAGGTACTTATTGTTGCCAGACTCTTCATTTCTAAATGTATCCTTTTAGCTCCTTGTGCCAATGATACTGTTCGTCTATACAGTGATTCAGGTAGCTATTTCAGGAGATATGGACGAGTTCAAGTGTGTGTAAATAATGTCTGGGGAACAATTTGTGATCACTTTTGGGATGAAAAGGATGCTAGTGTAGTGTGTAGAATGCTTGGATATTCTCCCTATGGTAACGAATTGCTAAATTTTGCTTTTATGTAGTCTATACTTTCTTTCCTTTGTACTAGGTGCTTCTGCCTTAAGAGACTCATATACTGAAGGAACATGGTATATTCACATCAATGATCTTAACTGTACTGGGACAGAGTCTTCACTTTGGGACTGTCCTATGAATGGACTTAATGATTATTCATGTTATCATTATGATGATGCTGCTGTTCTTTGTCAATGTAAGACAGTGTAATCCTTGATGAGTTTATTGACACTCATCTTTTAGTGATTGATGTGGAGTATTTTAATTGTACTACTGGTGAAGTGAGATTGGCTGATGGTGCTACAGAGTATGAAGGAAGAATTGAAGTGTGTGAGAATGGAGTTTGGGGCTCAGTTTGTACTAGGTCTTCATCTAATGTTAGGAATGCTTACACTTTTTGCCAAGAATTAGGATATCAAGGTACATTCATTTATCTTATAGACATGTATATAGCTTGTGTTGTGTACAGGTGGTATAGTACTTCCGAATTCAAACTTTGGTGTTAGTAATAATCCAATTTTTATTTATGAACTGTCTTGTGGTGCTTTTCAATCAAATCTAAGTAACTGTTACCAAAGAAAATATCCATACTATTATGGTTGGTGGTGGTATGCATGTAACAATTATCAAGAATTAAGCATCAGATGTGAAAGTGAGAACACCAGAAAAAAATTTGATATGATTTTGTACCATTTTTATAGATCCTTGTGTTAACAATAAAACAGAGCTATATGGTGGCCCTTCTAGTCGTCATGGTAATGTAAGAGTCTGTGTCAATGGTTCATGGGTTATGGTGTGTGGATATGGTAATACTGTCATTGATAATAATCTAGCTAGTGTTGTCTGTTCCAGCATTGGATACTCAGCACATGGTAAATGGTAAATTGTATTTTGTTCTGTCAGTAATATAATCTTTTAGGTGCTAAAAGTGCTAGAGGTCTATGGAATAATTATAACTATCCATATCAGTTTTATAATGTTCAGTGCTATGGAAATGAGAGCAGCTTATTAGACTGTCAGTATAAGACTACAGGATCATGTTCTAATATGTACAATGGAGCAGTTGCTGTCTTTTGTCTGCTCAATGGTATATAATATATATAATAGGGATTATCATTAATTGATACCATTTAGATGATTATATTCCAGCTAACTGTACAGATGGTGATATTAGACTTTATGGTGGGTCTACACCTAACCAAGGAATGCTTCATGTATGTAGCAATGGAATCTGGGGAACTGTGTGTAGTAATAACTATTGGAATAGCATTGAAACTGATGTTGCTTGCTTTCAGTTGGGGTACTATAGCTATGGTTCGTTTAATTAATATATAGCAATGTGAACAAGAATAAAATTATTTTGTAGGTAATTCCTTCTCCAGAAAGACAACTGGTGGAATGTTTCCAATCATTTATTCTTCTTTCAATTGTCAGGGTAATGAAGTAACACTGTTGTCCTGTAGTTCTGGACTGCATTCTAGTATTCAGTATTGTACTAACAATGCCATTGAATTAAACTGTGAAGGTTAGTCCAGTAACTATGATCTAATTAAGTTACTGCTATTGTTAGCAAATTGTACATCTGGTGACATACGTTTTGTTGGTGGTGGATACTATTATGGTCGTGTTGAAGTTTGTGTTGAAGGAATATGGGGGACTATCTGCAGAGATAGCTATTGGGATAATAATGAAGCTAGTGTTGTTTGTAGGCAGCTAGGATTCTCTCCTTATGGTAATATTATTCTTTCTCAATTATTGTATTTTGTGCAAAATTATCATCCTGCATGATTGACAAAATTGTGTACCCGGTATTATAGGTTCAATTGCTATTACTTCATCATGGAATAGTCAAGAGCGTGGAATAACTTTTTTAACTGGCTTAAATTGTAATGGAACTGAAGACACAATTTTTGATTGTCAAGTTGATACTAATGCTCCTGTTTGTTCATCTAATTGGGCTGATGCTAATGTTGTTTGTCCAGGTTTGTAGACTAATACACTTATTCATTATGAATACAGTGAAACATTAATAGCTCATGGTATTTCAACCTATTCGAATTGTACTGATGGTGATATTAGATTGGTTGGTGGTAGCACAGAATATGAAGGAAGAGTTGAAGTCTGCATTAATGATGCATGGGGAACGGTTTACAGTTCTTATTACGAAGACTACTTTGCTCAGACAGTATGCAATGCATTAGGTTTTACCTCTCCTGGTACGCATTAGTATAAAGTTATGTATTTATTTCATTTTCAGTGTATAGGTGCTATGAATATGTATGTTTATAACACAAAATTTGGTGAAGGAAGTGGTCCAATATTAATGTATGCATACTGCTATTTCTCAGGAAATTCATTGTTTGACTGTTACTCTTGGCCATATAGCATTCCACACACTAGCCATGAGTATGATGCTGGTGTAAGGTGTGAAAGTAAGGGTTTACCCGCTCCTGTTGATTTTAATTAACATTATTCACAGCTCCTTGTGAAAATGGTGACATCAGACTAGTTGGTGGTTCTGATCCATTGATAGGAAGAGTGGAGCTGTGTATTAATAAAACCTGGGGTACTATATGTGATGATTATTGGGATGACAATGATGCTAGTGTTGTGTGTAGACAAGTTGGATTTTCTGGACAAGGTAGTATATGCATAAGTATACTTATTTGTACATCATTAATAAATGATAGGGGCTAAAGCGAGAAGTAATTTATACACAGAAGGTCTCAAATCATTTCACATTATTGACTTAAACTGCAATGGAGCCGAAGAAAATGTGTTTAACTGTTCTCATAATCTTGTTCAGCAGTACAGCTGTAGTCACTATGAAGATGCAAGTGTACAATGTACAGGTATTAGCTATTTAGCATTGTAATGATTATGTATTCTAATATGATGGACCATTTTATATTTAATAGCCTCTAATGCGACTACCAATTGCACTACTGGTCATGTTAGATTAACAGGTGGTCAGTCCCAGTATGTTGGTTTAGTTGAGATATGCTATGGAGGAGTTTGGAAATCAATATGTCCTAGAGGGTGGGATAATCGTGAGGCACAAGTTGTATGTAGACAATTAGGGTTTACTTCTATTGGTTAGTTGTGGCTATAATTATTATAATGCTACAGTACTAATCTTTAGGTGCTGATTCTGTTAATGTTGGAAAAGGTTTTGGTCTTATACATTCATCATATTTTAGCTGCACCGGAAGTGAAGCTGCTCTACTAAACTGTAGTTATTACACTTACTCCTGTGGCTATTCATACCATGCTGGAGTTGAATGTGAATGTAAGTATAACCTGCATCTGTTGTTTCTAAGTATTACTTATATTAGCTCCTTGTATTGAGGGAGCTGTTCGTTTAGAAGGTGATGATAGGTATAAAGAATTTGGTCGAGTTGAAGTATGTATTGATGGAACTTGGGGAACCATTTGTGACAATGGTTGGGATAATAATGATGCCAGTGTAGTATGTAGAGAGCTGGGATACTCTCCTTATGGTAGAGTTTTGCATTTTTTTCTTTCATTATATAATATACATAGGAGCTATAGCTAAAACTTCATATTTTGATGAGTCTTGGTTACCTTTTCATATTTACAGTGTGAATTGTAGTGGTAATGAAAGTATACTGCTTAACTGTTCCTACTCAACTGCTGGATCTTGCTACAGCCATCAAGATGCCGGCCTTATTTGTCAAGGTTAGGTTTTAATAAAATGAAATGGAGTATTTTATAGATAAATATTAGACTTGGGTGTAACATATGATAATTGTACTGATTATGCAGTACGCTTAATGGATGGAGCAACTACAAGAGAAGGAAAACCTCAAATATGTCTTAATAGGGTCTGGGGTGCATTTTGCTATGAAGAAAATTACTACTCTTATGGTGTGGATGCTACCATAATTTGTAGGGAGCTTGGCTACAATAATGGTTAGTTGAAATGTAGTGAGCAATTAATTTTTAAATATTAATTTCATT